AAATTCCACCAATATATCTCTATAATTACAAAAAAGGTCCAAGTTTCAATCTGCAATAAAATACTAAAAGCATATTCTCTATTTCCAGAGAGACATTATAAGAGAAAGTCCTGAATCTGTTCCCTCATGAGTTTCCGTCGTTCTTGTTCAGCCGCCGTTCCTAACATTTTTTTCGGGAGAAGTTGGACGTCTCTCTGGAAGGAAGACGAAAAGAAAAGTTTTAGGCAACATTTGGTTTAATTAATTCACTCAATGCATTAGTTGTAGGTTCATGCATTGTCCACTGTAGTCTTTTTGTGAATTGTGTTGCATCCAGACGGCTCCAGAAGTGCTCAGCCACCAGGGAGTCAATCAGTAGGCTCTTGTGAGGATGCTTGATATCCCATTGCTTGATTTTTTTTTTTTTTCTATGATGATAATTTCGAAACTGTTGTTATTTTTATTGGCATTATGATTATCCAAAATATTCATTAAAAAAAAAAAAAAAATCTTTTTAAATCTGAAAATCAATGAAAAGGGTAAACACAATTAATCAACTAAAATGTATGTCATGCCATCTGCAACAAAGGGCTAAAGAGATTGGGGGAAGGAAGACAAATAAAGAAAAAAGAAAGTGGAAGAGACATTATTAACATACAAGTAGTCACATGACTGTACTTCATGGCAAGATGTTATCATAATCCATGTACTGAGGTTTCAAACCATATATCAGAAAAAATAAAATAAAACCATTACTTATCAACATATTTCTTACCAGTTCTCTTGCAATAATCCGACATCCGTAGCAGAGGTAACCTTCAAGCTGGTCCCGTGATAATACATGTTCCCTTTTGCTGTCTTTTCCCCCACTGCCACAACCACCATCTCCATTACAAGCACAAGAATTTTCAGCAAGCTCTGCACTGTCACTCGATTCACAATTTCCATTCACAGTTGATTTATCATATAAAGCATTGCTTATCCCCTTACTTCCTTCCTTGGAGTCACCCCCCACCTTCCGCTGAGACAATTCCTGCGATACAAGAATGGCATGGACAGCAGAAGCTTCACCCTGCTCAGTGTCCAAATCCGAGCCACAAAGGACACACACTTCACTGCAAGAACCAGCACCATTGAGTGGCTCTGGACTGGTGCGTCGGCTCTGCTCTGAGGACGAGGACACGAGCTTGTCTCCCGTACGGAAGATGGTAGGGATGGTGGCAGGGAAGTCTCTCTGTAGGGTTTTCACAAAGTCTTCTGTGCAGGAGGTGATGCTTGAACCCTAATGGAAAAATAAGCTAGTTTATAAATAATATACATATGATAAGGTAATGATGGTGTGGCAATGCTGATGATGGTAACAACTGCCAGCCTTCATTCTGGGAAAATGATTTGTACATATAATAGACAAGTTAATTATATCTTCACATAAAAGAAGGTAGGAATCATCTTCAAGTCTAATTAATTTCATTACTCAGAATATGACAAATAATGCTGGGGAATTTCTGCAGATACACAGAAAAGAGAATGAAGAAAAAAAAAACGAGAAGTAGTGGATTATTAGATGAAACAGAAGAAACAGGAGTAAAAGAGAAGATGAAGAGAAGTGGAAGAAATATGAAGAAGAATTAGAAAAAAATACCAAGGTAAAAGTAAATAATGGTTCCATACCTTCATCTGGAAACCTGGTGCTTTCACTGCAGACAAATTGTGAATTTGTACATAATACTGAATCTCATTCTGAAGAATTTCTCTCATTGGTCGGTATATTTCGATGCCTTGGTGCACTGATTTGAAATGCTGCAGGAAAGATTTATGCATTATTGAGTCTATTTGTATCTAAACCCTCCTGAATGGATCATATAATATTACATTTTGCTGCATGAATAAGAGTCTGTGTAGAAAATATGCTCACAGAAAGTACTAGCAGGTACTCAAGCATAATTTGCCATTAACTCCTATAGCAAGGGTGCGGGAGGTTCATTAGCTAACCTTAGTGAACATGACAGAGCGTTATATATAGCATTAAAGAATCTGCAAGCGACTGGTAACTTGTAAGAAGCAAATGAGGGGAAAGTTACCGACTGACAAGGACTGTCCACTACGATAACATAACGTGTTGATTGCATAAATTTGTAATTGTCATTTCTCTATGTAAAATGCAATATAGTTATTATACAATAAAGATAAATCAATTTTCTCATATTCATACTATATGATAAGTAGGTTCAAACTTGACAAGTACTGCCACTAGAAATTAAAAGAAAAAAAAATTACATACACAAACATAATCACAAACAGGAAAAAAATGCACTCCTCACAGATCTCCAAAACTGATCAAAGAAAAAACATCAATCACCCCACAGCAGAATCAATCACCTACCATTCTTCCAGGCAGCTGTGAGCCTCGACCAATGGCCACATTTCCCAAGATTGCAATAGACAAGCTTGTTGCATTGTCACCGAGAAAGACTTTCTGATAACCAAGAGCTTTTGCGGCCTGAAGTATGAGGTCTTGACGCAGCTGCTCTGCAAGGTCTTCTTTGGCCGACGGACTCTTGCAGGCCATTAACAGGTCTTTTGTGCTTTCTTCTAGGCTCTTAGTCTTTGGGAGTTGTTCTTCATTCCATTCCTGTTTGTAATCAATCAATCAATAGTATTCTCTACCCTGTTTCTACTTAGATGTAATTTTACTCAATAATATAACTGTAACAATATGAGAGTTTAGTAAATCAAATATTTCACAAGCATGTGCAATCTAAACTCGAAGGAATATTATAACTCTTAACAACCAATAATCTCACCTTAGTAAACAAAACAGGTGACATCACTTGTGTTGACATAATCTGCTCTATTGATGTAACATAGCAATCAAAGTCTAACGTAGTCACTTCTCCACAAACTTTCTTGATGTATTCTTGGCCCGAGCTAGGGTTTTCACTTAAACAACTTTCTGTAAATGATAAAAAAGAAATGGCTTTTTATTTCAACTTATATATTGTTATTTCATTACAATTTAAGTAAATGTATAAACACTTTTCTTTTTTTTTTCATTTAAAAATATTAGAACAGGTACTGGAAGTGTGTTCTACTATTCAGAAAAAAATTAAATATCTAATCTAATATCTAATAATTTATGCATGAAGTCATGTCATCAATAACATGTTTTTACCTCCTTATGATCTAGACAATAGCATGTATAACAAAAAAATTTTATGATACACTGGGTAATTTTTGTAAAAAAAAAAAAAAAATTAAAGAGCATCTTATTTATATGCATACCCATATAGACTATATATGTATCTTCTTTATCATCAATTTTACTCATATACAGTGTGAAATATTCTGACTCTACAATAATCAACATCATTCAGTCACCTTAACCCATTCGCCACACGTGGCAAGAATAGATGCCATAACCACTTTGACACACGTTTATTTATTGTATTTACACATAGATGGCTCCACAAATTCTTAATCACCAAATAGCCAGTTATCAAGAACTACCTATTTCACCTGTTTACCCTTTTCCTTCACTTTAGGAAAGGGATTTTTCTATCATTTCATTGTCTAGTATATTCTAATGGCTATTTAATAATCACAACATCAGTAACAATAATAACAGTATCGATAGCAATGCTATTAATTTTCCCGCCAATTCAATGAATGGGAAAGTCAGGCTCGGTAACTAGGGCCTACTGAGAGACTCCTTGCCGGCTGAGTACATGTGGAGCCATCTGTATGTAACAAAATTAACCAAAAACTACAGGGGACAGAACATAAATCCAGGCCGAATGGGTTAAATCAATTTAGCATTAGTAGAAAGCTCTCGTACCATCTACATATAGGAAAGCAGGCTCAAATCGCAGCTGTTTGTGTGAAGTCTCATTCAGGCCCTGCCTAATGAGGTGCAGCATGGCAGCCGACGATGCTCCACCAGACGTTGCAACCAATACTTTGTCACCATGTCGGATCTGCTTTGACTTGCCAATGGTTGAGCGGAACTTGTGCACAAAGTAAGCCAAGAAACATTCCCTGGAACATTCAAGAATAACAGAGATGAAGAGCTTTTCTATATGTAAGTATTTTTGATGCATGCAGGCACATCTTCCATCCATCCATCCATCCATCCATCCATCCAACAGGCCATTCACATTTATGAGATCAACACTAGCAAATATGCTTATCCATGTGTTTGGCCTAACTCTATGAAAATATAAGAAATCAAAACATGCAGTCACAGAACCCAAAACACTGCAAAATGTCAATAAAACAAGAAAATATCTTAGGGAAATTCTTAAATCACAAATAACAGTAAAAGTAATAGGAAATGCTAAATACATATAGTATATACTTAATACATAAGTACAATTGAAAAACCCCACAGGCTATGGCAATGAACATGGACAATTTAGTTTATTTTCTTGAAAGTTCTTATGTGGCCATATCATTGTACAAAGGCAAGTAGTTTTTGTATACATGTGTAATTATACTGTGAAAGAGGCTTTTTAAAAAAATTCCAAGAAATTTCATAACTGTTATGAATAAGAATTTTAAGGGACATCATGGAAGCCAAATAGCAAAACCAGAATGCTATTTTGGAACTCAGTATATGTTACCTGTGTCCAATAGTTAAGTACATCCTGTCACAAAAAAAATAATTTGCCGATGAGCAGGTGATTGGAAGGTCTCACCAAGGGAAACAAAATATGGCTGTGAGGCAGTGATGGAAGATCTTATCATGGGAATTACTGCTGAGTTTTGGGTAATGGAGACGACTCATCATAAGTGCACAAAGCATATGGAGTAAAACTGATCCAGTGGGCCTAAAGGGGGAGGCTCATTCACGAGCCATCTCCAAAAAGGATACTATATCCACACACACGTACCTATTCTTGCCAGTTGTTACTAGTGGCTTTTAACCAAAAATTTAATAATGAGAAAATTTGAAAAGTAACTCACTGTCATTTATTGTGACTATCATTCCACAGAGTACAAACTACCTGAAGAGATGTCATGGAGCCTGCTCAACGAAGATGGTTTATCATCTTCATATGACATATATGGAAAATGGTAAAAGTGCAAAATAGAATCTGCAGAAAAAGAGCTAATCTCATTGCAAAGAGGAGGCACAGAGTCTTGACAGCACATGTGAGTGTTTGTGTGGGCCAGGCCTAAAGGCCACAAGCCTTGAGGGGGTCATCACTCAAGGAAGCCTAGTGTCTAGATTTCAATCCAGGTGCATGCTGCAGCGCACCTGGATTGAATGGGTTAAATGTGTTCACACATTATTCAATTCCCATGTCTTACTCAGAATTCATATCATAAATACTCACCAAGTGTGTGATTATACCTATAATTACATGGACTGATAGATGAATGAAAGGATGGATGGATATAATATTACACAGAGATAGAAATTAATAGGAAGATATTTCCACTGTCTAGACTTTCAGTTAAAAAATATCTGATTTACTCAAAACAAACATTTAATACTACCTGCAATATGCATCCTTGACTCGTAGCACAACTTCAGCAGTTCCTGTTCCACATTTGCGACACAAAACATCACCACTGGAAAGAGTGAGGAGCAAACTCTATACAATATAATAAAATAGAAATAGATAAAGAAAAATAATTCTGTATGAGGAATTTCAAATATCCCAAGTGAACAAGAACACAAGCAAAGTTATGTGGAAATATTAATAGATGCAATATTATAAAAAAAAAAAAAAAAAAAAAAAAAAAAAAAAAAAAAAAAAAAAATGGCTTACCCACTGATGTCCAACTGGCCTGTGGCTCGTGTCATTTCTGTGAGCTCGTCAGGATCAACACTACACATGATGACGGTTCAATCACAGCTCACTTGAAAAAAAGTTTACCTGAAGGAAAATATACTGAATTAATAATTGACAACTTACATGGTTATATATATATGCACAAACATGAATCGCACACAATAAAAAAGAAGTTTATAATTGTAGGCTACAAAAATAAATTACAGTAACAATGACATACGATTGATTCAGTGATAATGCTTTTGACAATTCAACTGCACAAAGATAGACAAAAATAGAGAATTCTGCCTTATAAAATAACTGAAATGACAGGCACTGTTATCAACTAATCCACAGAGGTAAGGAAAATAGTGCATTCTGATATCAACATTTTTATGAAAATCCAACTCTCTTATTTATGGTCTATGGAGAATCAGTGCAAATAGTGTGGCAATTCACTGAGACATCTTCCAACTGTAAAGTTTTCATTCAAATTATATATATTTCTGTAAGTGGGGATGGCATTGGTAAACCACACAGAAACTTAAGTGAAACTTAATACTGGAAAGAAGATTAAATGACTCAAGGGGGTTTCAAGCCTACACTGCACATTTGAATATGAAAATTGCAGTTCTTCCACATTTCCCCTCTATAAAAAGTGGAATTAGTCTAAGCTCTATAGAGAATATAACTGGTGGAGGATTGTTAGCCCTTGCTTGAGTGCCGAAGGTATGGAGGCCTCAGAAATTTCTGTCTGTGCTCTTCCTTATACCAACATGCTTTCCTGATGGCTGACAAAATAACGAGGAGGACAACTAGACACAACATGCTTTCCTGATGGCTGATAAAATAAATTGGAGTATCAACTAGACACACTCTTCACAGATTTGCATTACTTATCCAACTACCTGTGATATATCAAAGAATGTAAAACTCACCCGCTTTCCTTTCATTCCTTTTACACCGAGTGTGCATTTTTTTTATTTTTTTTATCTTATTGCATAACAGGATGCAACATTATATATCTAACTAAAAAATAAAGACACCTAAAACATAGCATACCAACGAAAACACCACAGATAACTAAACATAATGAAACAAAAATTTCATTATCATCCACAGTAACTTACACACAAATGACGAAAAAAATAATAAATCTAATGCAATAAAACCCTCCTTATTAGACACAGCAACTTACGCAAACACGACAACCAGACAGGTGCGCTGACGCCTCTTGCCACGTGCTGTTGCGTCATGTAAACAAGACTCGTGTTTGAGACGCTTTTACGGGGTCGCTATTCGGCTTTAGCAATTTCTACGGTCTATTACTTCAGGTGTTGAGATGATAACACCAATAATAATAATTATAACAATATATAATGATAAGCATAGCATAATAATGATAATAATCATCGCATAATAATGATAATAATCGTAACAATGATAACAATAATCATAATGGTGATGACACAAATAATAATGATAGTGATGGAAATTATAATCATAATAATGATAAAGATAACGAAGATAATGATGATAACTATCATCATTATTATCATTATCATTATTATCATAATTATCATTAATATCATTATTAGTAGTAGTATTGTTGTTATTATTGTTATTATTGTTATTAGCATTATTACTATTATTATTATTATTATTGTTATTATCACTATTATCATTATTATTATTATTATTACTACTACTATTACTATTACTATAATTATTATTATTATTATTA